GGGGGGGAGACTGAACCTGCAACCCAGGTTGGTACCCTTGACCAGATATTGAACCCGGGACCCTCCAGTGCGCCAGCTGATACTCTAACCACTGAGCACACTGGCCAGGGAGAAGGAGTTTTCTTTTTCACATTTTATTGGAACATATCTTAAAATGATCATTTCTAAAAGGTGATTAATGAAATCATATGTACGTATTGTACATTTCAGCTTTCACTCTGTTTCCTGATGTAGCACAGGCCTCCCACAGTTGAGCAGGAATGTCCTATAATGAAGCATGTACTGAGAAAGCCTAGACAAGAAGTATCCAGCTATGAACCATTTACTGAGAAAGCCTAGGTAAGAAGTATTTGACAGGCATTTACCATGCTGGGGTGGGGTGGGGTGGGGTGGAGCAGGGAGGAGTAGTAACCCAAATTCATACACTAACATATACACATGCTTAACTTTAGCAGTGACTAAAAGGGACTAAATACTAGCTAAAATTAAAATCTTAATATACCAAAAGTCAGGCACTACATTTTAGGGATTCAACTGCTCAACTTAAAAATGTAGATCAACCTGAAGAAACACACATGAAATTTTAAGGTGACAGCACATTCAGTTTTAAATTCTGAGATGCAACAATAAATATTACAAAATATCTAAGTTGGATGTTTTCACTAGAGTTTAAAACTAGTTCATTTTGGTTAATATACAGGGTGTCCAAAAAAAAATGTATACATACTTTAACAGCTGATGGCTGTAGATTCTCTTACATTTTGAAAATGAAATGTATTTTAATAAACACTTTATTCAAAGTGTATATACATTTTTGGGGACACCCTGTATATCAATTAAAGCAATGGCTTATTTTATGGATAGGAAAAACCAAAATGAAACAAAACAAACAAACAAAATCTAAATAAGCTTCAAATGTCTGTCCTATCTTCAAGAGTGGATAGTTTTTTTTTTCTTTTTAAGTATAGTAAAGATTTAAAAACCATTGCCTTCCTAGCAGGGTTTGTGTATTTCTATTATTACCTGGGGAACTGTACTTTGTGAGTCATCAGTAGGCCCAGCCAAAGAGATTAACTCTTTCATTGTTATTTTCAACAAATCCATTTTGCCTTTCTTCGGTTCAGATGCCAACAGTGCCTATGGAAAAACAACATAAAATTAACAAGGTTCTTATTTTGCTACTTCTCAGAATCAATCCCAAAATGCAAAATTCCCTTTAGAAAAACATGTGGTATCAAGCAACTTCATTAAGCCATGTGGACTTGAGCAAGTAGTTTAACCTCTCCATCTCCCAGATTCTTCATCTGTAAAATAAGGTAAAGATGATATCATGGGATCTCTAAGGTCACTTCTAGTTTGCTTGTTAATTATATAATTCTGAGAGGTTAAGAATGGCTCTTGTTGACAACTCTTTTAGGACCATAATTAGGTGGCAGGTCTCCGATAAAATAGTCAGTTTTAGTAACAAATTTACCCAACATGAAAACATTCTTAATTTAAAAAACAAAAACAAAACATCTTCTGGATAAAATTTATTTTGAGAACTTGGAAACTCACTGGAGATCGATCAGTTATTTAATTCTTCACAAAAGAGCCTCTATCTGGATATTATCAAATTGTAGCACTGGAAAATCCATAGGATAAAAGAAAATACTACAAACTCAAAAGGGGTCCTATATTTAAATTTTCATTTGTATTAAAAAAGAAAACACCCTTACACACACTCATTCTCATATGGAGAGGGGTTCGGGAGTCAGATTGCCTGGGCTCAAGTCTTAATTCTGCTCCTACTATCTCTGTGGCCTCTGGCAAGTCACTAAGTTTTATAAGCTCCAGTTTCTTCATCTATAATATAGAGACAATAACAGGACCTATTTCATAGGGCTTGAGGAAGGATTAAGTGAGATAATATATATGAAAGGAGTACTTATAAATGTTAGTGACTATTAGGATTATTTCATACACAAACATTTTATGGAAGCATTTAAAAAAAACTGTTAACCCTGGTTGCCTACAGTCTTAAGGGTTTTGAAACGAGAGGAAGACTATTTTTTTCTAATTCAAAAAAGGGCAACATGTGCACTTCCTGGAAGTGAGCAATGAATGTGCCACAGTGATGTCTACTTAACAACCAGGCAGAAATCTACACTACCCTCTGTTCATTACAAGGCTGACCTCTTAGAGGGTTTGTTCCAAGAACAGATCTGTCACAGGAACATACTGTCCACACATTAAAACAAAGCTACAAATGCTATAGTACTGAAAAGACAGAAATGTCTCTTACGCAATGCTCCCTCACGTCAAGCGGATCAGAATTCACTATTATCAAAAGACAAATAAACAAATGGCTATGTCCTGTGGATAAGTACCTGTATGTAGAAAGGAATTCCAGCGCTGCGCCTTGTAGCACAGAGTTTAGATGAAGGATCGCTGCATTTAATTTCCTCTAAAACGTTCCATAACCACTCTTCTGGTAGCTTTTGCAGATTCACATTAGGGCATCTAAAAAGCATATATAAAGCAAACATTTGGAATTATCAGGTACCAAAAGTTAAAAGTACAAACTATTGATACATATTAACACTGTTAGGAAAGAATACATATCTTTACATTTGGAGGAAGGAAAACTAAAAAATGTCTCACTTTCCACTTTTTACCCACTTTCCTCTTTCATATGGGTCTGAGGATTTGAAGCTATTTTAAAGATTCTATTCTTACAAAAGCATATAAAACATGTGTCTTGTCTGCAAAATAAGCTTTAATACTGAGGCCTGCACCCACATTCAAAATGTTCTAAAGATGGTCAATGTAGTTCTTGCAGATGTCCTTACTAGTACAGAATCCCAGAGTGCTGAAAAGGGAACATAACATATACTTTATGGTAATTTATGTCCTATAGTTATAGAGACGATACATACTCAAAGAAAACACATTTTAAAGTACATTTTAATAATCATTTTCATCTCTCTCAAAATGTGGACTACCACAAATAAAAATTTCCACAAATCCTATGGAGAATTAATAAAGCAAGTTATCTAGGAAGAGGCATAAACATTTTGAGGTTATTTGGACATTACTGTTAATGAAATTCTGTTCTATTATATTAATTGTTAATTTTTAAAAAATTTTAAGCTTAGGCCTTACCAGATTGTATGACATTACCCTAAGAAATAGCATATTCAGTGGTAGGTAGACACAATTATTTTAGGAAGATCATAATTGAATTTAACTGAAATTAATATATGAAAATAGCCCAGCCAGGCGTGGCTCGGCGGTTGAGCGTCGACCTAGGATCCAGGTGATCGGGGTTCGATTCCTGGTCAGGGCACATGCCCAGGTTGCAGGCTAGGCAGCCAATCAATGACTCTCTCATCGATGTTTCTATCTCTCTCTCTTTCTCCTTCCCTCTCTCTGAAATCAATAAAGATATATTTAAAAATATATATATATGAAAATAAAGAGATAAAGTCCAAAGGAAAAATAAAGTAGCCTCCTTTACCTGAGGGGCATATGTTCCAAGGCCCTGGGTGGATGCCTGAAACCACAATAGTACTGAACCCTATATACACTATGTTTTTTCCTACACATACATACCTATGATGAAGTTTAATTTATAAGTTAGGCAATTAACAACAATAACTAATAATAAACTAGAACAATTATAACAATAAACTGTAATAAAAGTTAGTGGATGTGGTGTCTCTCTCTTGAAATATCCTATGGTAGTGTACATACAGCGTGGATTTCGTGGATTCACAGGACAAAAGGATGATTCCCATCCTGGGAGGGATGGAATGGGACAGCACAGGATTTCGTCATGCTACTCAGAATGGTGCACAATTTGAAACTTAAGAATTTTTTATTTCTGAAATTTCCATTTCATATTTCAGTCAGAGGCTAACCACTGGTAACTAAAACCCAGAAAGTGAAACCGCAGACCAGAGAGAACTAACATATCTCTTTTGTAAACTGAGGAAGACATTCTGCAGAAAGGTAACTCATTTCTAGTTTATAGTGAGAATTAAGGTATCTTAGAAACAATGTGGGCTTTTTAAAAAATATATATATATATCTTTATTGATTTCAGAGAGAGGAAAGGAGAGGGAGAGAGAGATAGAAACATCAATGATGAGAGTCATTGATCGGCTGCCTCCTGCACGCCCCCTACTGGGGATGGAGCCCGCAACCTGCACAATTGAACCCCGACTCCTGGATCCCTGGTCGATGCTCAACCTCTGAGCCACTCTGGCAGGGCTGGGCTTTCTATCTTTATTCTACTTTGGTGTAAGATAGACAACTTCAGTTTCTGACTAAACATTCCAAATAGCAACTCAAATTTAGTTATTTGTGTCTTGCATAGAACAAAATATATATAAATAATATTACTCTAAAGGAGACATTTTAGAAAGTTTGACATGGGCCTAAAAATATTATTTCAGCCATAAATATTACAATGAAATCTCCCTCCTCCCAGCAGGCTCTGTAATTTTAAAGGTTTCCTTTTAGCATGGTTTCAAATCCATCACCTCACCCCTGGCTTCTTCCCACTAACCCCCTCAGGCACTCAAACCAGCCATCGACAATCTGAACCACAAGACTAAAAGAAATTCAAAGGCATAAAAACCAAATGTAGAGTATGAACCTTATTTAGATTTCAACTTGAACAAAACAGATGTAAAAATGATATATTCAAGTAATAAAGAAAATTTATATGTATTACATATTGTGTGACACCAAAGAACTATTTACAGAATGTGCCAGTGGCATTGTGGACATGAAGAAAGTGTCCCCATTTTTTAGAATTGCATACTGAAGTGTGTAGGAGCAAAAATAAAATCAAGGATGTACTTTATTCAGCAAACTGGAATAAAAAGGCCAGATGAAGTGGATGTGGCAAAACTTCGATAACTGCTGAACCTGGGTGACAAGTAAAGGCAGTTCATTATATTACTCTCTCTACTTTTCACGTATATGTGTATTTATGTTTGAAATGTTTGTTTGATATCTGTTTCTTTGTTTAAGATTTATGTTTGAAAAATTTCACAATAAAAATAATCCTCCCACACTTTATTTATAGGGCTTGAAGTGACTTCCCATCAAGCAGGACAAATGCTTGTGTTTCATGGAATAGTTTATCTAGTTCATTACTAACACTGCCAGCTTGCTATACTCCTTACAAGTTGCCCAATCAAAAACTGAAATCAATGGCTAATCAGGGGAAAGAAAAAAATGGAGAATTAAAGCAAAAGTCATCTTTTTGTGATCTACCCATTCAAAAGAAAATTGGGGACACAGAGAGAAGCAAAAACTACTTGATCCAAAATTACAAGAGGATTTCATTTACTTTTCTTTTCTTTCCCACCATAGGACCACTGGCATTGTCAGCCTGGCTTATAGATAATGCTGTGGTCTAAGGTCAGTCTCCTGCAGGAATTCACTATGTAAGGGGGAAAGGCAACTGCAGGTGATGGGGTCTATTTTCTTATTTCCTCATTTTCTTATCAAGTGCACTAAAATACCAGTACAACAAATACTAGTTCAGTAATGCTCCTCAACACTGTGAGAGAGCTGGCACAGAAAGGTTCTAGCAAAGCCAGCCAATCTGAGAGGGCAGGTCTGGGATTGGAGTAAGCCGCCTCACCATGCATCACCCTTCCTTCTCTGAACTTAAAATGGATCTTGACTGTTAACAAATCTTAATTGAACTCATTTTCCATCTTGATCAAATCTTCTAGCTTGAAAGGTTGCCTATGACCCGGCCCCAACCCTTCTACTTGAATCTAACCTCAAAAGGTTTTCTAAACTTCTACAAAGATCTTCTGTTCTAGTAAGGTTGTTCATTTTGCTGCTCCCATCCTCCCCCCCTCCCATATTCCCAACTCAGCATTTGCTTATGATCTCCACATTTATCTCTATCATTCAAATTGGTGAAACTTCCTCCAAATATTGCATCTCACAAGGACCATTCCTTTCCTGAAGCTTCTAATGTACTTAGAGCAACTACTAGACACAAGGTGTACAAGGGGTCAGCACAGTGAAATCTGTGCTGGACTTTGAAGGATGTGTAGGCAGAATGGTGGAAGGCCCCCTGTGGGGTTAAGAAAGGAGGTGATGAGATGACCGAGGAAAGAGCTTATGTAAAGGCCCTAGAGGCAATTCTCTAATTTAGATTCTGGGTTATTATAACTATAGACAGTTAACCAGACCTATTTATCCCTTTGAGTGTTGCATACCAAGACTAAAGATCCTTGTTGAAACTGGGAATTTGAAAACAAAGGCCAGAAGAATGTTCAACAAGGTCAAGGCTGGCAAAGTACCCTCCACAGAGCCCTCTCTGCCCACTGCCAAGGATCCAGGAACCTCAGGAATTCTAGGAAATGCTCAAGGCACCAACTCCTACCATCCAGTCCAGACCTTCTTGTTCTGCTCTGTGATTCCCCTGGATCACATCAGCTTTTCTGCAGAATACCTCAACTGTCTGGTTTCCAATTTGGACTTTGCAGCTGGACCTTATTTCTCTAATTCCCTTGTATCCTAGTTCTGCATCTCTCCCAGGTCAGTCCTTCCCTCTCACCCTGCCCCCCAGCCATACGTGAGAATTGGTCCAATAATAGATACTCCCATCCTTTTAACTAAAATGAATCATGCTGTATTTTAAACAAAATCCTCTTACCAGTTTTGTTTAAATTATCATACTGAAAATATATTTGCCTGCCACTAAGGGAAGAAAAATAAACATTTATTATATGCCTATTACATATCAGATACGACACTAGGTTTTTCACACCTAATCTTACCTTGCAGCAAACCAATCAGTGAGAAGGCATTATTTTCCCCAGCTGACAGAGAGAGAATATATCACAGTGATTAGGAGGACAGCATATGGAGCCGTGATTTAGTTTAGAATCCTTGCTCGACCACCTAACAGCTGTGTGATCCAAGACAAGCTGCAAAACCTCTCCATGTCCCACTCTCCTTTCTATGGGAGGATTAAACGAGTTTATGCGTGTAAAGTGTTTGGTAAGTTCTTAACAGTTGTTTTCTAAAATTATCTATTATGAGAAAAGCAAGTTTTAAAGAGTTTCAATTGAACTTCTAATAAAGATGGAAAAGTTGGTTTACATGTTGACAAGACCCCCCCACACACAACATGTATTCATAATAATCAAAATAGACAAACAGAACCCCAAAACCAACTGAGCTAAAAAATAAATAAATAATTATTATTTGGGTAAAACCAGAATAGAAATGCAAAGCAGTGGGTGTGATGACAGCAGAGTTCTGCAGGGTTACAACTCTAGAAACAGCAGTGATGGAAGTCAGTTCTTAAGGAGTAATTCACCTTACTCCTAGGAAACGGTGATTTTCAGCAGCCTCCTCTCCCATGAAAAGAGGTTGAAAAGGGGCTACTACTTGCCAGAGCTGCCTGGGGCTACAGAAGGAGGGAAAGCTGAAGGCCCAGGGAGACTCTGAACTAGGCTGACTACTAACTTGGTGACCAG